TTATGGCCTCGTCATATGCAAGGCAGTTCACTCCTGTAAGAGAAAAGGTGACCCACTAATAAACACTTCAAGAATAGATACTGGCAGGGCAACATGAGGGCAGAGCTTGTCCAAGACCAGTGTTTATTAGATGTATCAGAATGGAAAACTTGCAGCCTTGGTTAGAACATCACACTGCTACAATGTTACTATGTAGTGAATGAGTAGAAGCTTTGTTAATGTGTCGCAGTGTTATAAAGTTGGAGGCTGAAATTTTTCCAAAAAAAAAAACTAATGGCAGCAAATGCAGAAAAGAGCACCATTAATAAATAAATGCCACTGTTAAGAAAGCATTTCATCTGGATAATCTTGAGATACTATCTTGTGATGCAAAACAAGCAAGTTTAATGCAGATTCATGTTGAATGCTACACTTCTTTCTGGGTTGTAAAAGAAAAATTGCTGCAAATGTATTTTGCATGCACAAGTAAATCTGGCTGCACTGTTTCTTTATAAAATTAAATGAATAACCTGTACTGATGCTGCTCCAACAGAAATTGCTTCATCAGTGGAAGAGTATGTTAGTGCCCTCGGTGTCACTTTATTAAAGCAACTGAATAAAGTCTTGTATATTTCTCTCTTTTGTTCAAGTATTTGCCTTCTTGACATTAAAAAATCGATAACCTGCTGACCAGTGAAACCACTGCAGTCACATAAGGTACCTCAGAGAGATAAGTATGCGTTAAAAATTTAATTAAAATGTGACAACAACACGACATTCATGACAGCAGCTACATTTTCTCTTCCCATTTTCAACAACATCAGTCCTCACAACACCGGTTAACGTCAGTCAGACTTGGCTAGCACGACCAGTGCGAAAACAAAACAAATATCGGTCACGACGTACAACCTCGTTTTACCAACCAAAACTGGGTGTCCTGTTTTTAACATTAAGCCTACAATTTAAACATTTCCTTAGGTCAAATACCCCGGGACTGTCATTTACCGTTTCCACGTCAATAACAAAACAAGCGTCTTTTTTTCTTTGTGTAGCCAAAGGCAGCTAGCTAGCCTTAGCCACCAAGCGCTGGCCTCTGTCTTGCTCTCATCGCTGTATGCCAGCCAGTTTTATTAAAGAGAGGGCAACGGCTGAAACACAGAGCGGGCATTTATGTGGCTTTGGGCTGCAATTGCATGATATGTGTTGGATATTTTTGTTTAATATCTGTTCCTCTCACCCTCCATATCCCCCTGTGTTGAGTCCTGCTGCTCCTCCGCCATCTTAGCTCTCGAGATCTGTTTCCTGCTCCTGCATGACCTCAATCATTACACACTTCCGGGTGGAGACAGGCTGTACGATTTATTAATTTTTTTTTAAAAGTACTATTTTTCATTTATTTTACTTTTTATAAACAACGGGTGCATAACAAAAATTACAATGAAGCGAATTCAAGTTTATTAGATCTCAACCATAAAGAAAGATGGGGGTGCCATATGCTGTACACTCTCCCACTTTGATAAGCTGGTGGGTCTAGAGATGAACAGTTATGGTAGAGACATCCATACCTCCCTCATTTTCATAAGAGGGTCCTAAATGAGGGCAAGAGCTGGAATGCAACTGTGGTGGAGACATTCCAAGTACATTTACTCTAGTATTGTTCTTAAGTACAATTTTGAGGTGGCCTAACTGTAACTTTACTTGAGTGTTTTCATTTCCTGCTACTTCATACTTTGACTTCATACATTTCAGAGACAAATATTGTATTTTTTTTAACTACACTACATTTGATAACTGTAGTTACTAGCTAATTTTCAGAATCTGATCAATAAAACAGGATACAATGTAATCACAAGACTGTACTGATCCTCGGTGTGAAGTTCACAGGCTACCCAGCAGATTATAAGCATACAAGGTAGTTAAAATTAGCTCCACCTTTACCAGCTGCATAAATGAGATGTATACAGTAATACACAAAAAAATGATAAAATATAGCCTAATGTGGGACTAAGTGGTTTAGAAAATGGATGGATGGATATAGCCTAATGTTAAATGTGCCATTCTCTGAGTAGTTTTACTTTTGCTACTGTAAGTATATTTTGATAATAATACTTGTGCTTATTCTTCAATAAAACCAACTAACTGGCACACAGCAGACAGCAGTATTAAAGCTTACATCATACGGCAACAGGATACATAGACTATATGCACCTAGAGTGGAAGGAATGTGTGGCTATGGTCCACACGGACAATCCCGAGTGGATTTGACTGTTAGGCACAAAAATGTCATTCATTCATTCATTCATTCATTTTCTACCGCTTAGTCCCTGAACGGGGTCACGGGCAAAAATGTCATCAGATCTTTTAAATGAACCCCTACAAAAATCTCCATAGGAATCTCAACAAACACTTCCCTAACAAACCAGATTTAGATAATCAAGAAAATAGCTTTTATATACACATTTATTTCCACCCACCAATACAAGCTGATACCCATACATAGCCCTAAAAACAAATATAAGTTCAGGTACGAGACCAGGAAAATAATTTTCCAAAGTCACAGTTGAATGTAGAGTCTTTCATAGTTCAGTAGTTTTTCAGTTTGAAGTCTCTGCACTTTCCATCAGTACACATCAGGGGGCACTGTCTGCAACAGATGTGGCCTATTCTGACTATTTTCACATAATTCATCTGTTGCTCTAAATTGTTTTGTGCTACTGGATAATATGGACAAACTCTTCCCACATACTTTTATCTCAGGTGGCTTATGACATAAATTTTGGTAAAAGCTGTATTTACAAAAGGTAACGTAAAACAATACCACATACAGAACAAAATAATACTTCATATTTGCCAAAAAAGCAAAACTTTTTTTTTTTTCATTTTCCTTTTGGCACATTATGTTCCATGTCAGGGCTGTAACAGAATCCAACAGTATTGAAAACACATATAAACAAGAAAAAAAACAGGTAGTAGTAAACAATACGTTTGGTTTTTCTGCAATATTAAAAAGCTGTAACAGTTCATGTCAAATTCCTCTCGCAAAGCCATTGTCCTGTCTTGGATGTTGAAAAACTCCTTAGACCTTTGCAAAGCACAAGTGCAGTATGTCCTCAGTTGAGACATTTTACTTTTTGTCTCTGTCTTTTTTGCATTCAGATTTATCAAGTAGTTCAAGTGATGTAAAAAAAAAAATTGCGAAAATAAAATGCATTTTACACAGATTTGGCAGCTTTTCTGTCGTTTATCCACTTTGTATGCGTGTGCATACATGAAGGTACTCAGCATGCAGACAAAGGAAAAGCCTGAGTAATGAGTGGTCTCTTCCAGGATGACAGTGCCCCAGTCCATAGGGCACAATGGTCAGTGAGTAGTTTAATGAGTATGAAAATGAAGTAAATCATACATCATGTCCTTCTCAGTCGGCAGATCTACCCAGCTGAACACCTATGGGAGATTTTGGAATGACGTGTTAAACTGACTACTACTATCAAAGGTCTCTAGGTGTTGATGTAAGGTTGATAAGGAAGAGGGGCATGTGGAACTAGAAAATAGATATGTTTAATTTGCTGATATGCTAATTTGCTGTGTAATTCAAAAAGTGAAAAATATTGTACATATTTACAGATTGTCAAATCACTACATACAGTATATAGGTTATGTTTTGACAGTGTGAAATCTGTGTCAGATCCAAACTGTCCCAGTGCTTCAGACAAAGGCACGAGGACAGCTCAATAATATAGAGGTATGCATGTTGCAGGTGTGGCAAGCGAGCAACAACACCATGGTTTGGATCAGATCCCAAACCGTGTTGTGTAAGGGAACTTTACACACACACAGTTACTGATACACAGGCTACCACTAAAGTAAAAATCCACCCCCAGGACCGAGGGGATTGCAGTGTGATGTATCAACTTTCCCAAAGCCCTCTCCTGGATTTCCTGATGTAGTTGTCCTTGAGTGTTTTCACCCCCACACACACGCACACACACAGAAGGTATGTCAGCTGCATTCACCTGTTAGTTGGTAAGAGCAACGAACACTGTATTGTGAAAGATGAGCAACAAATATTGTCTGAGATTAAAGCTGTAGTAGTGGTACTAGAAATACTGCGACGCGGTCTTGTCTGGCAGAAACCAGAAATCAAGATATATCCAGATATGAACCACCCTCTAGACCAGAGCTAGTCAGTTCTGTAGTTTCACATACTATTTTCCTGCTGCCTGCTAAACTATCTGGGCCTTGTGAATCAGCGAGGCATGGGGACTAACCATAGTGGGGCTTGGCTGGGGTTTGGGTCTCAGTGTGCCATTAGTCTGCTGATAGCGTGTACTGTGAGCCTCAGAAACATGGGAGCTGTTGGTCTCGCTGTCTTGGTCATCAGGATGCTCTTGACTGGCAGGACCCCCCAAACCTTCATCTACTTCATCCTCATCATCTGTTACCGGTGGGTAGCTGAGGCTCAGTGGAGGGTGCTGGTGATTCTTAGCAACGCTTCCTGGCTGTGAACCCCCATCTGCTGGGATGATGGCGCTGCCATTTATCTGTCTTACAATTTCAGTGGTCTGTACCAGTGGGAAGGCTGATGGTGTGAGAGGAGGATGGAAACGAGTTTCCTGCTGCAAAAAAACAAGACAGACACACTTTGTAATTACATCATCATCATCAGGTAAATATACACAGGTTATTAAACTGGGTGAGATGAATTCCACAATTTAGTGAATTCAGGTTTTGACATGTCCAGAAACACACATGCTCAGAGATACACTTACCAAAGATATTGTGCTGTTTCGCACATATGTTTCGACTCTGATTCGACTCTCCTCATCCCTATCCAGAGGTCTGTCTCTTCCTCTCCGCGAGTTGTTGTTCAGGACTGGTCTGCCCAGGTAGTCAAATGCTCCCCCCCCTCCTCCTCCTCCTCCCCCCCCTCCTCCTCCCCGCCCACCTGAGATAGTAGATCGGCTGTCACGGACATGAGCCTGCTCCTGTCAGTGCAGGAAAGACAATATTAACAGATATACTGATATGGTGGTCTTGTTGTAATGTGTCCTTCTTTTGCACCCATAGTTTAAACTGAAGCAATTTTAGTGAGATTATAGATTATTTGTATTGTATTTTATAAATTTGTATCTATTTACTGAGATTACTTGTCTCTAATGCAAATGCACTTTTAAAGTTTTAAAGCAATAGGTAGCCATCTTGGGAAACACATTTATTTGCTTTCTTGCTGAGGGTTAGATGAGTGTGTATATGCTAAATATAAAGCTATTACCTTAGCATAAATACTGGAAACAAAAACATTTAGACTGGTTATTCCTTTCAGCACCCATTTACAATGAGGAACAGAAGTATTTGAACACCCTGCAATTTTGCAAGTTCTCCCACTTAGAAATCATGGAGGGGTCTGACATTCACATTGTAGGTGCATTCCCACTCTGAGAGACAGAATTAAGAAAAAAATTCAGGAAATCACATTGTATGATTTTTAAAGAATTTATTTGTCTTGTACTGCTGAACATAAGTATTTGAACACCTGAGAAACAGCAAGAATTCTGGCTCTCAAAGACCTGTTACTGTGCCTTGAAAAAGTCCACCTCTACTCCACTCATTAATCTAAATTAGTAGCACCTGTCTGAGCTCTTTAAAGACACCTGTCCACCCCACAGTCAGTCAGACGCCAACTACTACCATGGGCAAGACCAAAGAGCTGTCAAAAGACACCAGAGACAAAATTGTGGACCTCCACAAGGCTGGAAAGGGCTACGGGGCAATTGCCAAGCAGCTTGGTGAAAATAGATCAACTGTTGGAGCAATTGTTAGAAAATGGAAGAGGCTAAAGACGACTGTCAATCTCCCTCGGACTGGGGCGCCATGCAAGATCTCACCTCGTGGGGTATCACGGATGATGAGAAAGGTGAGGAATCAGCCCAGAACTACAAGGGAGGAGCTGGTCAATGACATGAAGAGAGCTGGGACCACAGTTTCAAAGGTCACTGTCGGTAGAACACTACGCCGTCATGGTTTCAAATCATGCATTGCACGGAAGGTTCCCCTGCTCAAGTCATCACATGTCCAGGCCCGTCTGAAGTTGGCCAAAGACCATCTGGATGATCCAGAGGAGGCATGGGAGAAAGTCATGTGGTCAGATGAGATAGCCAGTCTCCAGACCTCAATCCAATAGAACATCTTTGGAGGGAGCTTAAACTCTGCGTTGCTCAGCGACAGCCCCGAAACCTGACAGATCTAGAGGAGATCTGTGTGGAGGAGTGGGCCAAAATCCCTGTTGCAGTGTGTGCAAACCTGGTCAAGAACTACAGGAAACGTTTGACCTCTGTAATTGTAAACAAAGGTTTCTGTACCAAATATTAACACTGATTTTCTCAGGTGTTCAAATACTTATGTTCAGCAGTGCTAGACAAATAAATTCTTTAAAAATCATACAATGTGATTTCCTGAAATTTTTTTTTAATTCTGTCTCTCAGACTGGGAATGCACCTACAATGTGAATTTCAGACCCCTCCATGATTTCTAAGTGGGAGAACTTGCAACATCGCAGGGTGTTCAAATACTTCTGTTCCTCACTGTATCTTAGAAATTACCATGTTCTATTTGGCTTGTTTTATCAGTGAAAAACAGAAGTATAAAATGTCATGTTGCAGTTTAGGGGCCAGACCATTTCCTGGTTACACACAGTAACCTTTTGGCATTAGTTGTCTCATCTCACACTTGGAATGAAAGCAAATGTGTTTATTCTGTATAATGTCATAAGTACTGAGCTCAAAATTTCAAATCTAAACGTGGTGCATCTCAGATATTGACAATCACACTGCATAATATTGCTTAAGACCTTAGGGCTATATTTATTCTTGGGATCATGCATTCTTTTCTAAAGCCACTAATGGTGCTTATTTTCATATGTTGTCATGTATTAATGCTGGCCTGAACCATAGTTTTTCGCACATTGTTTTAATATCATATGCTTACACCAATTATTTGCCTTTTACATCCACATTTAAAGATTTGGATAAACATTTCAAATTTAAGCAGCTCTTATTCTACCATTATTTTACCAGGGATGTAGCCAGGACTTTGAGAAGCAGAAAACAAATAATAATATTCTTCTGAACTTTCCTTGGAATTATGTAATTTTGTATTAGATATAGCAAAAGACTATGCCCAAGTAAATAAATGCTCTGCATTGACTAAAAGGACACACTATTGATCAATTAAGTGAAGGTGCAGTCATCAAATACATTTATTTTCCTTATGATAACCAAAGTTTATACTACAGTTCCTCAGTGTCCTAGAAATGATTATGCAGACTTAGATAGATAGATACGTAGACTGACCCCGAGGGAAGACAGGCTGGTCCTCAGGGTTCCCTCCACCCTCAAAGGGATATTTTCCTCTGTCTGCGATTCAAAGACACAGAGGGTAGGATTAGCAGTGGGACTCAAGGTAAGAATAACCTCAAACTCTGCCAAAATCCTAACCCCCATGCATGCCCCCACAGAAAAGGCTGTGCATACAACACTATGCCTTTTCAAAACTTTAAACCCCACTCACTTCTTTCATTTGAAAAGACAAACAAAGTAGGTGAAGCAATGGCTGATGACAGATGAGAGATTATCTAACCACTGCCACAGCTACCTGACACCCATGGCTGTAGAGCACAGTAATAAGTATTCATCAATCATCATAATAAAATGTGTAGAATTTCAGAAGAGTCTTTGAATGAATAAATAAATGACGGTGAGAAACATATGAGACCGATACTCTACTAATTTTGATCAACTGTGTCAAAGTGTCACAGCCTGAATGAAGTTGTGTAGCTGCAGGAGACACAGGATGATACTGCAGTAGGACACTGTGTTTAGTAAGACATACAGTAACAGTAAAATAATTCAGTAACAGTTACCGCTCCTCTGGTGTCTGTGCTGCCAGAGTTCATTCTCCTGATAGAAGCTTGTCTAGAGAGACTGCTTATTTCCTCCCTGTGAGAAAAGATATGGGGGGGGGGAGAAAAAGAGACAACAGCATATTTTAATGACTGTAGAAAGTTCCACCACTAATTCTATTCAGCATGCTTTGCTTTTGTAGCTGTCATCTGCAGCTCTGATTTTCTCCAGTCTTACGTATTCTTTCTGGCCAAGTCTGCCCTATGGAGATTATTAAAGTTTCATCTTATCTTAATTTACTTAAAGTATGTTATTTCAGCATACTTCTTCAGGGTGAGCTCTCTCTCCAGTTTTGTGTTCTTGCGTTTTTGGTGGCATGTGACAACAATGACAATGATAAGCATCAAGATCAGCAGCACAGCAGCAACACCTCCCACAGAAAGCATCAACAGGTTTTCAGGCCATTCCCGTGGCTCAGGAGATTCTGTAAAGTAGAGAGTGAGTCAGGAAGCAGACAGGATTAGATGGATGTGTACTGTACAACTGTGCTCACAATATACTGTATGACAAGTCTTAGTATGTGATGTTGACAGCGCTGTCATCTACCTGTCACAACAATCTCCACTTCCGCCTTCCCTACTCCCACTTCATTCTTGGCCTCACACTGGTAGGTGCCTCTGTCTGACAAGCTTAGGGGGCGCCCAAAAACTAGAGTTCCATTAGGGAAGGGGTTCACACCTTCTGGCAAATCTTTACCCATTCTGCAAACAGAATACAAGACAAAGTTATGTTATAGTGCACTTAGATCAACACATGGCCCTCTTGGGTTAAGTGGTACTGTAATCAGAAAGTCATTATTAACAATTTTTTCAATGTGTTAGGGACCGTTTGAAAATGACTGTGATGGGATGAGTGGCTGAACACTATTTTTTACTATCTAAAGAAGTAAAGCCCTTTTCTGGACCCTGGACCCACATTCTGACTAAAAGAAAAATGTGCCTGGTAAGTGTCTCAGATCTGCAAGGACTGGTAAGCTAGTGGTGCCCAGAGTTCACTCTTGTAAAAGGGCTTTTAGCCATTATGCTGCCCACAGCTGGAACCGGCTGTCATTAGAACATAGCTGTGCCCCAGTTATAGTCACATTTAAAACTAAATTAAAGACTGTTCTTTTTTCCCACTGCTTTAAATTAAAGTGCCCATAACATGCTCATTTTGCTTGTTTCCAGCCATTTAATGTTTAATCTTGGGTACCTCGAAATTAACTTGGCACCCCTCATAACTCCAATTACTTAGTAATTGTTTCAGAATCAGAGAGGACAGTTCATGAACGCACACAACTACTGCTGCCGGTGTTGTGTCACAAGTGGACAGCACAATGAACCGCGACGGCATTAATTAATTTGAATTTCTCTTCCATAGATAGGTAAACAGCGGTATATTTACGATTGAAAAGAGATGTGTAACACTCTAAACAAAGTGGGTAATTGAGAAACCCCCATATTTTAACTGGCACAATGCAGACATCTCCAGCCTCACAACAATTCTCTCTAATGTTACAGAAATGTGTCTTAATGTATCTTGTTTCTGTTCGATTTCACACTCTGTTTTTATCTTTCTTCTGTTACTCAGTGACCAATTGACTTCAATGTGCTGTTTAGCTGAGTGAATAGACACTGATGTTTTAAATTTGCCAGAAGAAAGTACTCCCACCTCTAGTGTACTCAGAGGTTAGTCTTGAGAAGACGGAGGTAAAGGGGTACAAACTATAGTGAGAACAGGGAGAGTCCACAGTTTGCCACAGCTCTCAACATCTGCATGTTGCTACTTTGTGCTGTCATGTAATTGTTGCTTGTAATTTGCATTTTAATGTTTTATCTCTTTGTGTGCATTGTGTTAAGCACTTTAAATTGCCTTTGCCTTTGTGTATGAAACTGTCCTATATAAATAACCTTAGCTTGCCTTGCCTGCTGTTACAATGCATTTTGGCATCAATGACTAAAAGTGCACAAATGATAACAAAATTAAGCAAACTGTTTACTGAATATTCTAGTCAGTTTTTATGTTTGAACCAAGAACTGTGTGTTACTTTATACGTACATGTTTTCACATATTTAGAAAAGTAGGAAGGAACCACCATTTAGTTTGCGGTAGTGTGACTCCAGGAAACACTTAAAAAACTTCAATGAGCAACATTGTCCAGGGTGTTGCCTCGCTGTTGTTGTTTTGAGACTTGAACTTAATGCTTGAGCATTGCTGTGAGCATTTTCAATCTGCATTGCCCCAGGACCACCTAGTGTGCTTTCATCGTTATAGGAACATGCTCTGCTCTCTATTCACATATATTTCATAGTGCACAGTTATACTTTTTTGTAGAAATCCCCTATGACTAGCAGGAAAGAAGAAGTGTCGGTTTGTACATGCACAGTAGACACAATACCACAACAACATCTTGCACAAATCCACACATTGTGCTTCCTCGTCTCTCCGCCCCTTGGATCACCCCAACTCCTCTGCCTACCTGCTCCCACTAGTTTACCTCTCTGCTTATATGGGGAGCTCATTCCTTTCCCTTTCTTCTTCTCAGCCCCCTCTTCCTCCCTCCTTCGTGTGAAACTGTCTCATCTGTCTGCTTTCAGTGCAAGTCGCAACACGACACTGTGACACCAGCTCTTACTTCACCTGTTGCTTTTTACTGACAAATCCAACAGGTTTGCCCTGCTGCTGTAGCCATCGCACATTTGTGTGTGTGTTCATGTAAAGCATGTCCTTTAGTGGAAAGGTTGATTGTAACTTGAGATTTTGACTGCTGACTGGGGTTTTTTCTCTTTGTGTATATGTGAGGACATACAAATGGGTAATAAATTAAAGGCATATCCTGACTAAAAAAGGGGGGGGGGGGGGAATACCCATTTTGACATGCCTGAGTCAGCGATTGTCTCTTCAAATGTCTTGTTTTGTCCAAGCAATGAATCCAAAGATATTCATTTTATTATCACATTTGACAAAGAAAATCACCAATTCCTCAATTAAATAAGGTGCAACTAGAAAATAATAGTGATTTTGGCTTCAAAACAGATGTTTTGATGCTTCCTCCATCCAGCAGAGGGCCACTGAAGCTGTTCTAGAGACACCAAAAAGTGTATGTTGTTCACTTTTTGTTAGTTTTTCCTTCCATTTGTCACCTATCTGCACATGCTCATTCATGACTGAGCTTTACTCACAAAACCTCCTTTCTCAAGGTGTGTTCCTGACTAACGACATCATCATCTGGCAAAAAAAAACAACTCATATGAGTCAAACCTTAGCAAACATGTCTCTTGTTGTTCTTTACATTTTAGTACATATATGGCATCTGTGTGTGAGGAATTTCTCCCTTTGGGCCCAACTGCCACCAGTGATAATTTGATCCATTTCGCTTCTAATCATCTTTTGTGGCTGACATTTGTCTGGCCAAAATCTGCACCACACCCTGAAAATATATGAATGCACGAAAGGAAATGGCTTAAAGATGACACCAGATAAATGAAGCAGAAGAAGCCAGGCATTTTAAGTCTTGTCAGACTTTAAAGTTGGGCAGAAATGTGCCGCGTTTCAAATGACACATGTAACATTTGAATCAGGAAGTGACAGTGCCAGGACTTGTTTGTTTAAGTCATGTGGAAAAGGGTGGAGAGCCAGATCACACTGTAAAAGGTTTTTTCAGTCAAGTGCCTAAGGGGCCAAGCCACATTAAAAACTAATACCGAATGCTAAGGTATTAAATGTGTTCTTAAAATAAACACATGTACAGTTCTAATCAGTTTCTAACCAAAACACACTGTACATTGGGAAAAGTCTGAAGTCTATATGTACTGAGTACATTTTCTTCCATATTAAACCAAAGCTGATTTTTGTAATATTTTATGCCATACATTCTTTACATCCATGTTGCTAGCAGTCTTTTTCTTTAGTGCCGTTTGTGGGTGCATTTGTGTTTCTTGCCACTGCCAGCTGTTGGTCACTGTGCATTGCATTAATCATATGCTTGCGAAACAGCTCCACATACACCACCCATCTATTGTACATAATCACTAGTGTACAAAATGTGTGGTATTCTGCAGCTAAAAACTGCCCCCAAATGATACAGCATTTATTCTACTTTCAGTGACATTTGCTACAAACTATAGTGCTGTACTGTTTTTAGATATGATTCAGTCTACACTACAGACAAGCTTTGTTGACAGTAAGAGAAATATTGAATATGACCAGCCATTAAGTAATTTGGCCATTTATTCACCTGAGGATTTGAGATCATAAAATGTCATTTCAAGACTAAGTTCATGTTCCTAAATTGATGAGAATATACAATGTGTCAATGTTGCTTTGAAATACATTTCTTTGAGAAAAATAAGAGAACAATAAGACCCACAACATCCTAGTCTGTAATAGACAACTGAGTAATGATAAAAAAAATCACTGTTAACTTCTTGGCCCCTGATGATGACCTGAGCGCAACCTTACTGAATACTCCATTGAAACTCTTCACTGGTGAACTCATAGCAAAATAATTGCCATAATCACTCTGAAGGTTCCAAGAAAAATAACTGCGACCAGACATGTCAGACAGTTAGTCACACGAGTACCAGACAGTGTGTATGGGGGGGTTTACTATACCTGCGCCAGGTGAAACTCTGCGGCTTGGGGTTTCCTCCACTGATGCACCTCAGGGCAGCATTCTCCAGACCCACTGGCCAGTCTCCATTGTAGCCAGACACCTCTGCATGTGGAGAGACTGGAAGGAACAACAATAAGTTGTCATGTCAATTAGGTTGAAGTGAGAAAGGGGGTAATGTTTAGCATTTCATGTAAAACAAAAAAGGAAAGACCGCTTTTAGAAAAAACAGTGATGATGATCAACTTAGGATAATCACCTTTATTTGGCCAAGTATGTTACATACAAGGAATTTGTTTCCGGTACAGAACCAATGGCAGCCAGCTGTGGCGCCAACTCAACCAACGGCTCTAACCATCAGGGGCAACCTGGGTGTTCAGTGTCTTGCCCAAGGACACTTCAACATGTGGACTGCAGGTACCGAGATTCAAACTTCCGACCCTCCAGTTGGGAGACGACTGCTCTACCCACTGAACCACAGTCGCCCCCAACTTGTAATGAATATAACATTTACAAGAAACTACAGAAACAAAGTTAGCCAAAGTTCAGAGTCATAGTACTGCAATCATTTCCTGTGAAGCTGGAATGGTCATGTAATAGGTTCTGTGGGGAAAAAACCCCTAATAACATCAGCAAAACACACAAATTATTCTCTTGTCCAGGGGAGGTGACAGTGGTGTGGTGGGTAGAGCAGTGGTCTCCCAACCAGAAGGTTGACGGTTTGAATCTCGGTGCGTGCAGTCGACGTGTCCTTGGGCAAGACACCGAATTCCCCCCCTCTGTTGCCCCTGATAATTAGAGCCATCGGTTGAGCTGGCACCACAGATGGCTGCCATCGGTTCTGTACCGGAAACAAATTCCTTGTGTGTAACATACTTGGCCAATAAAGGTGATTATCCTTAAACCCCTTTTAGAGAGAAGTAGTGAAAATTCTTAAGCATATTTTAAATATACTCACAGTACACCACCAGGTTGTTTCTGAGCCTGCGGGGGCTCGGTAAAGTCGGGTGCCACACCAAACAGTCCAGCTTCTTGCCATTCATGCCCCTCAGAGGGTACAGAAAATAGTTCGAGGAGATTGCCCCGTTTTCAGAGGAGCGGTTGATGGACTGACCACCCAGGTCGGAGTCCCAGGAGAGTTGGGGAGGCGGGCGGGCGACAGAGCGACAGGAAGCGGCCTGCCTGTAGGACTGTCCCTCGACCATAATAACAGGTTCCAGGGAGGAGATAGGAATGGCTGGAGGGACAGTTGTTACAGTGTCTCAGCAGGAGGATGGTGACATCACAATTTTCCATGCACCAATCACAATTTAAAGATATTCAAATCCAAATCTGATGACATTTGAGCACTCTCAGTCAAGTCAAATCAGAAACATAAAGTCCTGATGAAGAAGATTAGCTAAGTTTTTGAGTGTTAGAGTTGAGTAAAATGAATATGAGAATATTAACTTCATAATAAATTTAGTTGCTTTCTTCTAAATGTTGTTTCTTATAAACTGTAAACATTTAATGTCACAGAGATTTATTTAAGATTTTAAGTTTTCCAGGGCCTTCAAACAACTAGTCAGCTATATTTTAATTATAGTCAGTGAATTGTTTTGGTAACAAAGTATGCTGTTAACATGTAACTGATCATCAGTAATCAGGACTGTTCTCAGGGTCACTGCTGAGGGACTCACTCCATACAATGAGTGACATCTCGCCATCAAAGTTGCCAGAGGGGAAGGTGCTGATGCGGCAGATGTACGTCCCCTCATCAGAGACTTCAGTGCTCATGATGACCAGAGATGAGTCCAAGGTGGGTTCGCTGTTTTTAAAGCGTACACGTCGAGACCACGTCCCAAATGCTGCACATAGAGAGGCAGGCAGGAAATTAGGGAGAGAGACAGAGTATCAGAAAGGGAAAGATATGAGGAGAGATGAAGAGAGGAAGTTCAAGATGTGACAAAAAATTAAGTCCAGCAAGTTCCAAACAGACTTCAGGGTTCCTTTTGTTACTTTCAGTTCCATCTATACACATGCACACACTCATGCTTGAAGCTATATTTACTTTTTAGGTATTTAACTCATGGTCTTATCTAGCATGTCTCACATTCACACTGAGTTTAAACTTCAGTTATTAAATCACAACAAATTACAAGAAATCAAAAATACAGTTTAGCATCTTGGCGTCCTTGAAATTTACCAGTGATAACACAATGTCACTGTCTTTCACAGTACATTTAATACTATTATATGGTTGTGGACACTTGCATTTAACCTCCCTTAGTTTGATGAGTAAAGAAATAAAGCCTCCAACCAACACTTGTCAACTGAAACTCACACATCAATGTGTAAAACCATACTAAGTTTGCTCAGTGGAGTGAGCAAATACTTAGTGTAAGAGTGAATGCTATGATAAAGAGGAAATTCTCTCTGTAAGAAAAGGGGAAGCTACTCATTCTGATGACATCCTTAGCGTGTGGCTGTGAATGTAAAGTGCTCATGACTTAAGACCAGTCCAACAGGTGCCCACTGACCTGTCTGTCCATTAGTGTGATGCGCAGTAATGATTTGTTCCTTAGTGGCATCAGGTTTCTTCTTATACCAGGTGACCTGCACCACCACACCACCATCACCCTTTTTTGGCTGGTAGCGACAGGGCAGGATGGTCTCCTCTTCAGCCAAGGAGCGTAAGAAGTTGTTTGGAGGAAGCTCCACAAATTCCCCCTGTGTGACTGTCACTAAAAGAAGAGAAGGTTTGATAAGTAAATCTATCAATCAAGCATGTGCAACTAATTGTTGTTGATGAACTATGTTTCATTCTGCAGTACAGTGATACTAAGCTGGAGAATAAATCCCCTCCAGCTCCAGGTCAGCTGCTCAGGAGCTTACCTAGTTGAACTCTGACCTACAACCTATCCCTGTATTGCCTTCCAATGTTCCTTCTAGCCACACTAATTTGTCTTTGCTGAAACTAGATTCGGTGGCTTTTTGTCTATTACTATCTAGGTAAGCAGGGTAGAAGGAATAAAAAAAGAAGTTACTCTCATTTTGGCCCAAACTTCCTCTTTATCAGCTTGGTGGCTAACGTGCTTTGACAGCCATTAACTCTTCTAGTGAGATTATTTGTTTCTAAACTCTCATAAGAGCAAAAGGTTAATTAATGAATAGTGCTACAGTTGAATAACATGGGCTTGACGTTAAAGACAGTAGAAGTATGGTTGTGAAAAGCAGCTAATAGTTGCATTCTGGCGGTCTTTGTGCTAAACTAAGCTAAGAGGCTGCTGTCTGTGGCTTTAGAGGCACCGATCTCCTTTTTAAATGTGAAACTAGCTTTGATATAGTTTTTAGGGATAATATAAATTGCTCAAAAAGTTAAGGGAACACTTAAATCACACACTGGATGATGGTAAATTATTCAAGTTGTATAATTAGGTCAGAACAAAATAAGCTGCTGGAGGTCATTTTGTGGGGCTCACAGTGCTCCTCCTATTGCTTCTTGCACAAAGGAGCAGGTCTTCTGGTCCTGCTGCTGGGTTGTTGCGGGCTGGATTCAAAATCACACTGAAAGTGAAAAACTGAACTCATAGGCTCATCCAAGCTGCATGAAGTTCAACACGGCAACTCATAATGTGACTCAGAAGTGTGTGTGGCCCCTGTGTGCACTCCAGACAACAGGCATCAATGTTTTCATCATCCTACACACTCTGGCCATGCGAGGCTGGGCGTAATCCTGCACCAGGAGCAAACCAGAGCCCCCTGTGCCAGTACATGTATGGATGTGCCATCTTGGAGTAAGTGTGGCTGGGCGTAATCCTGCACCAGGAGCAAACCAGAGCCCCCTGTGCCAGTATTAAGGTCTGACAATCACTCTGAGGATTTCATCCCAGTACCTCACAGCATTCAGGGTACCAAAGAACATTTGTCTGTGGCCATCACATGTAGCCATCACTTGGGGTTGTCTTGCTTTTGCCTCTCCATTGCACCTGTTGTCACTTCCATTTGCACCAAAGCAGGTGAGACTGATTCACAATTACCTGAAATTTAATTTAATTTTTGTTTTGACCTTTTATTGAGAAAGTTTACAGGAGGAATTAGATGAAAATATGACGTCATGGATACAAAACTTCTTGAATGAAGTTGAAGGCAAAAGGAGCTCTACAGAGCCCACACATAGTGAAGACAGAAACGGGGGAGGAGAGAGTAAACAGGTTGTCTATCAGACAAGCTGAATAACAAGATATGTTGCTTGACTCGTTGCTCAAGATAAGATTACAAAGTAAACTCCCAGAGGGTTACCTCAGTGTCTGGACAGAGCGTGATGTTCAATAAGGCCCCAGGACCTATAATAGCATCTACACACACTGTGTTTTGTGTGTTTCACACTGTCACACTGCAGCATTATAAGACAACAAATATCCAGCCCTCGCAAGAATACCTTTTTTGTACTTTTCTTTCAGTCTGTCTGCAGATCAAATTAGCTAATCTGCCTGATGTGGACAAACTACACTTTGTCACATTATCTTCTATTGTCCTCCTATTTCATAAAGTACACACACACACACTGTCATGACACGTGGATCCTGCTTTCTGTGGTTACAAACAGCAAGAGTTTAAGGTTTGTTTGCATATTTCTCTTGGCACAGAGCCTAAATAAAACTGAAGTCAGCTTTATGATAGTTCTGCTAATGCAAACAAATGTAATGTGATGTTTGCCTGGGCCGCCTAAAGCCTGGACAGGTGATTCATGGTCATAGTGTATTATTATTATATGACCGCTCTTTACACCAGGCTCGTGGTCCTGGTGACTGGTTGACTTTCTGAAGGTGCAGTTTGCTGATGGTGATGATCCTGTTGAGACTGAATGGAAAACTGCTTGAGCAAATGGGTTACTCCCAAATACAAATAATATATCAATTCACAACATGACAGACCATATGTATACAAGATGAAATATGGTTAGGATGGCCTGTTCATCTGATGCACCTAGAATGACCACAAAAGAAAAAATTTGCCTTTTGAAATATTTGCCTCTGATGACTCTGTGGTTTGCTACTGCAAACACTATTGTCCTTGTACTGTAGACAGAACTAACTTGTTTCTACTCATCAGTGTTTTTACAAATCCACATTTTCAGTTTCACTTTTGTATAACATAAACATCTGCTCTTTGTTTGGGTGTTAATAGGATTCAGGGATGCTTGGTATTCAGAGTGATGATGGGCTATGATTATGTTAGGGTTGGAGAGCAGTGTCCTGGGTAGTGGTGTCTATAAAATCACTGTATGTGCATTTTAGGTTTATTTAGGGCTGGAAAATGGTTTTACTTATTATGTGGACCTGAAGATTTATGACGGCACATTGCAACATTGTCATGTAAAGGTTCACTGTTCCAAGTGTGACTACATTACACTGTTTGTCACACCTATTTCCTGTTGATCCACACAGTTGTATCAAGTGATCACCCAACACAGCTTGTATGGAACTATTCCATGAGTTTTTAGGCTTGTGTGTATGTGTACACTGAGCAACTCCTGATTCAGAACCTACTGTGGGAGAATCTGTTCAGATACGTCATTGGCGAGGAAGTGATTCATGCATTTACCATCAGACCTGATGAATGTACTCTGCAGAGTGTAACACCCCACCAGTGTGTTTGTCACTATGAGGTAGAAGCCTATTGTGGAATCTACCTGCCCTGCATAACTTGAAACACACTGGCTGACACTGTGAAGATTTTTTTGCTAAATATATGTATGACTTCCCTATTTAACACATAGTGTAATGGTCAAATACACTCCATTATAATACAGTATGCTGCGGTGTATAACAGCAAGGTAGAAAGACTTTTTGATGCTGACAGACAGTAGCTACAGCATTTATCACATGTAAGCACATATTAAGGCTTAAACCACACATTCAGTAGGAGGGTCCACAGTTCTTCTCGATCAATAGCAACAGGTTTTTCTTGAAATATCAGCACCAGAGCCATGTGTGTTTTCTTTAGCAGCACTACTCCAGCCAAGTCGATCCTTGAGTAAAGCTGGCTGCCTGCCCTGAGTGAATAGGACAGCCACTGGCCTGCTTTCATAATCAAGAAAACCAAAGGTCACTTCTGCAGAAGTATGTTGTTTTAATAGAGCATTTTTATAGCCTTTTTAAAATTTATAATGCAACCAGTGCTTCCAAACCTCATGCACATACCTGTTGGGTGGGCATATACTAGACAGTGCAGGGCTATTATAGTAATATTATAAGAGATACACATGTAATTGTTAAGAACTGTGGCCACACAACCACCCTGAAGGAATACAACCCATAAAGACACACAAATCACAGAAATTCAAGTTTCACAAGAATACCAGTTTTGCATGATAACCCTTTGGGCGTACTCCGTGTAAAGGCTTCTTACCAAAGATCCCAAGGACACAGAGACACAGAGAAAGCCCGCTGAGCACAGATGACATCCTCCCCGACAGTTACTGTTAACTGACCACAAACTAGGACACTTTGAGCGCTGGGATAAATCGCATCAGTCCAGGTGGTCGTTTCTTCAGTGACAGGTATGCATGAAGCACCGAGGCGGACTCATACCTCGTGCTGCCAGATCACCCTTGGTGATGTTTAGTTTCTTCTTCTTTCTTTTTTTTTAATTAGCACAGTATCCTTTCCAAAGCCCCGTCCTATAGTCGCAAATCAAAAAAAGTAAAACAAGATAATCTCGCAGTTGTGGAAGATTGTTAATCCTGAGTTTCGTGACGTGATGGTCTGACAAGCAGACGCCATAGAAGAAGGCGCAGCTTTACCTGTCTGAGATACACCTGTTTGCGATCCACCTCTCTCCCTCTCTCTCTCTCCCTCTCTTTCTCTCTCTCGTGTGCATACACACCTACCCACAAACATGCGAGCGCGCCGACGTACGCACACACACACTTGCGGCAAAAGTCACTTTTCCGGTTGGTTAAGGCAACATGACAGTTATTTTTCTCGTCTTTACTTGCTCTGCTCAGAGGAGAGGCAGGTGTACGTGCAATCAGTTTAAAGCGAGTTGATCCACATGACGCAGACTGAGCAGGCTGACGCCAGCTAAGCCTTTCATTTTAAGGGGATAACAGAGGCAAAACACTGGGGTGCCTTTACAAAACCTCCATAAAGACCTGCCTACTTTCAGTACTTTTAATCTCAACATCACTTAATCGAGGACTTTAAAGGTTTGTGCCAAATGAAATGTCATCCTGTAGCCACAGCCACCCTATAAATAAAATGTGCGTCATATTGTGCGGTTTATCCTTCGTTGATTTCCTCATATGATCACATTACAGTCGTTTTCTCTCTTATTAGTTATATGAAGATGTATCAGTGTGATCAGGGCTGAATGTGACAGTTGAAATATTTTCACATGTAAACTTCATGAGCTTCATAGCAACCAAACCACTCAGAAAACTGTTATGTTTATTTATTTTTAGGTTGGTCACCCTATGGCTGGAGGTTTACAGCATATTTACTACTTAGCAGTGCAATTGAAAGAAACAATAAAATAATATGTGGACAGGTAAAGAGCAAGTCACAGACAACATCACTGCCATCCTGTGGGTGTATGGGAAACACTGCACAGTATGTCTAAGGCTTCACTGTAGAATATATGTATGTTTTTTCTAATTGGCCATTAACTGCATCTATAATCTACCATGTTTCCCAAAACGTTGATACTTTTAGAACAACTTCTGCAAGAAATCTGTCTTCTGCTTCCTGTTTTGTGCCATAAAGAAATCAGGAAGATTTCAGCCATTACAAGAAATTCAACTTAAAAGTAATAAATGCAGAGTGGATTTGTCTTTTTCATTTACACAGATTAACACACACAAAAACTGACATCTTTCAAATAGCCTAAAAGAGGAAGCAAACTGGCAGTCTGCAAAAATCGCTTCAAGTATTGCACTTAAACAAAATATATAATCCTCAAGCAAACATTCATTTAGGTTTGGTTTATAATTATCACAGTATAAAGTGTCTGTGAAGTATTTTAGTCATCAGTATATGTTTGCATACAAATTAAATATGATAAAGTAGCAAAAATATCTTATACAGCAAAAGTAAGCTAAATCTTAAAAAAAAAAAAAAAAGGTAGAAAACATCTGACTTGGACTTTAATGCATCATATCACTTCTTCATGCCGATACTTTCATATGTGTCCTGGGCATGAGGGGTCAAACCCTGAGAGGAAAACACAGAGGGAGGAAATGAGAAATTCACTGGAGGCTATAGTTTAATAATACTCATGGTTGAAAGGGAAAGAAACTCACCGTATAGATGCCTTCTTCTGTAGTCTGTTCAGGGCAGTAAAGAATAACATTAGACAGAGTATAAGTGTGAGAAAACACACACTGTCACATCAAGATGGAGGACTGACTTTGTGCCTTTCTTGGCTGTAATGGGACATGTGTATGAATGTATGACTACAGTGTAAAGAGGAACAATAGCCAGAAAGCAGCATGCCATATATGTTCACTTTAGACTGTGCGTGTGTGTGTGTGTGTGTGTGTGTGTGTTGCAGTGGGGCTGGGCTGTGTGCAATTTGTGGCTGGAATAGGAAATAATAGGCTAAAAAAGGCAAGGCGGCCAAACTGCAGGGTAAAGGTTAGAGCTCTTTTCATCCGCCTGAACAAGAAAGATTTTATCACAGCTGATGGTTAATGTTCTAATAAAGGCACCACTGCACATATAAACATATAAAACTGGTAGATGTTTGTCTTGTGTCCTAAATAGAATATGAGAAAGTAATAGCAGCACAGCTCTGTTGTAAATTTCATTATTACTGGTTGGACTCTCAAAATAATTCAGTGTGTGACTGGCTGCCTCTTGGTGGTCTCAGGAATTGAAACTGAAAAGCAGATGTGTCATAATAATGTCACTCGCCACAACAAGCTGCCAGTGAGTGGCTCCTGAAAACAAAAGTAGAGCAGCTGTATGTAGTTGTGAAGTATGGCTTTTGCCAGCTTCATTCTACATGTTATCTGTTGCTGTTTGCTTTAATTGTTTGTTTGTCGCTGAGGTTTGCCCTGACCAGAGATAATTTTTTTGCCTCCAGAGGTGTTCTGCCGAAACTCCAGCTAGTGCTGTGGTGAAGTGTATGTGTGTCAACACTACTGGGTTTTTTCAGACCCCACTACATGTACATGCATTTGAGACCAGGTCATGTCTATTTCAGCGTGCGTGTATGTAGGTCCTTTCTTACCTGCTTTCCATTTCCAGCTGCAGCAGCTTCCTTAGCATTGATAAGCTGTAGAAGACAGTGTGACAGGAGTTAGACTTGAAAGACCATCTATTTGTATCTGTACTCTTATCATTGTAATATAACCGAAGAATCACAAACAAACAAGGTTTGGACTTTATGTTGTATATGGTTGATATATTTTACTATAGTATCTTCATATTTTACTTACCTACAGTGCTCTGGACTACACACTGTATGATAGTACTGCATTCAAGCTGAATATTTTCCAGGATTTTTTGTTTCCTTTTTGAATATTTACTATGCTTTATTTTGCTGATGACACCATTTT